GGTGGTGGTTAGTGATTATCAGGGAATCCCGATCATTCCCGGGTTGTCCGGGGAAGACGCACCTTCTCCACATCGATGCTCAGCTCCTCCACCTCTGCCTGCAGTCGCTGCTTGGTCTTCTCCAGGCTCGAGCACTTGGCCTGGGCGGCCTCAACTGCTTCCTCGGCCTCTTGTAAACGTGACGTCAGCTTCTTCCTGTCAGGAGCCAAACATTACGTTACGTCGTTACATTTTTTTTTATTTCCCTGCAGCTTTTCCAGTCGATTCAAATTTTGTCAGTGTCCTAACAACATGAATACAAAGCACAACTTTGTGCTGTGGTAACAAAGGTGTAGAGCTGGATGAACACAGCAGGCCAAGCAGCATCGTAGGAGCAGGAAGGCTGACGTTTCAGGCCTAGACCCTTCTTCAGAAATGGGGGAGGGGAAGGGGGTTCTGAAATAAATAGGGAGAGAGTGGGAGGCGGATAGAAGATGGATAGAGGTGAGGATAGGTGGAGAGGAAACAAACAGGTCGAAGAGGTGGGGATGGAGCCAGTAAAGGTGAGTGTAGGTGGGGAGTTAGGGAGGGGATAGGTCAGTCCAGGGAGGACGGACAGGTCAAGGGGGCGGGATGAGGTTAGTAGGTAGGAGATGGGGGTGTGGTTTGAGGTGGGAGGAGGGGATAGGTGGGAGGAAGAACAGGTTAGGGAGGCGGGGACGAGGACGAGCTGGACTGGTTTTGGGATGCGGTAGAGGGAGGGGAGATTTTGAAGATTGTGAAGACCACATTGATACCATTGGGCTGCAGGGTTCCCAAGCGGAATATGAGATGCTGTTCCTGCAACCTTCGGGTAGCATCGTTGTGACACTTTGTGCTGTGCCTGGACACCACTAGAGGTCTCCACGCAAGGAGACTTCTGATGCCTGCTGACAACAGGAGGGGTGCTCTCGAAACATTTCATCTCATACTTATCAGGGTACTTGCAAAAATACCACATTTCAGGGAACGCTCCTAACTCTGGGTCAGAGGTTCTGTGTTCAAGTCCAATCTTAGGGCTTGATGACTCTGAAGGAGTGTCATAAAGTAGACAAAAAGGTTGATGATTAATTTGTAAACCCTTCAGACATGCAGGCTAAGAGCAGTAGAGTCTCCTGGTCAGAAGGCATGATGTGGGAACTCAGCACAAAAGCCTGAACTTCCTGTCACCGGCCAGCACCCCTTAAATCCCCCAGTCTCTCTCTCGAATCCCCCAATCTCTCTCTCTCTCTCTCTAAAATCGACACACATAAATTTGAAAGGAATCAACAATTTATACTTTCAAGATAAAATAAGTGCCAATTAGTTGGCAAGGCAACTTCAATTTGCTGGTTTGGGAGCAAGGGGAATACACAAGGGAACGACTGATCCCACACTTTTGTTTGAACCAACAAAGTGAACAGTCACTGAAAACCATACTGTGAAGCCTCTTCCAAGGGTGCCCAGCTTGAAGAAGTTCTCCTCCTCTCTCTGAAGAGATCTCAGTTGTCTCTCACCCACTGCAATCCCCTGGTTTTCCCCATCCCCACTGCCCCTCCCTCTATTTATTTCTGAGCTCCCTTCCCCCTCCCCAGTGCTGAAGAAGGGTACAGACCCGAAATGTTGCCTTTCCTGCTCCTCACGTGCTGACTGACCTGCTGTGCTCTTCCAGCTCCACATTTTAATCGACAAATGAAAATTGTTGCTCCATTTTAAATTTTGTATTCTTGCATGTGCCCTGATGAGTGTGTGAAGCAAAAAGCTGAAAAAGCAGGTCTAATCTGTGGCACCAGGACCATGACCCACTGATAGGTCCAGGAGGTTATTCCAAATTACAGACACACAAAAACAGGAGCAAAAGTAGACCATTCAGTCTTATCAAGCCTGTTCCACTATTTCAATACGCTTGTGGCTGATCCATTTCTACATTCCACGTTCCCATTTACCTCTCGGAGAAAAAAAAAAATTCTCCTTATTTCCCTCCCAAAGTTGCGGCCCATTGTTATGGAGTCACCCATAGAAGGAAACACGGTCTGCCCATCCAACTTGGTGGGACCATTCAGGATCTTATACACTTCAACCAAGTCTTTTAAAATCCAGCGGAAATACGTCCAGCCTGTCCAACCTCTTCTCTCAAATCAACACACTCACTGCGGCAATCAATCCAAGAAACCTCCTCTCAACCACCTTCAATGCAATTAAGTCCTTCCTTAAATAAGGAGGACAGAGCTGCACACAGAGATGTGATCTCACCAATGCCCTGTATAAGTGAACACCATTATTTTTACGTTAAGTTGCTCTTGTAATAAAGCATAATATCCCATTAGATGTCCCGATGACACACCTTAAGTGATATGTGTGCTAGAACACCCAAAAATCACACCACAGCACCAAGGATTCACAGTTGCTATGGAAATGCATATTTTGATACGCACATAGTCGTTTTTTTGCAGCTACAGTGTTGATACAGGCTGTAACCTCTGACCAGCAGGTCCCTCCCACTTCTTCTGCCTGCCACTGGCATGTACTGGAAAGATCGCCAGGTAATAATCAAACTGTTTAGCCAAGTCAAGAAAGCATTTAGCGCGCTTGCGTTCATTGCTCAGACCTTTGAATATAGGAGTTGGGACATCATCTTGAGGTTGTACAGGACATTGGTGAGGCCTCTTCTGGAGTATTGTGTACAGTTCAGGTCACCCTGTAACAGGAAGGGCATTATTAAACTGGAGAGGATTCAGAAAAGATTCACCAGGACGTTGCTGGGAATGGAGGGTCGTGAGATATAAAAGTAGAGTGGAAAGACTGGGATTTCTCACTGGACTGTAGGAGGTTGAGGGGTGACCTTAGTGAGGTTTATAAAATCATGAGCGGCATAAATAAAGTGAATGATGAGAGTCTTTTGACGAGCGAGTTCAAAACTAGGGGGCATATTTTTAAGGTGAGAGGGGACAGATTTAAAAAGGACATAACAGGCAACCTTTTTTACACAGAGAGAGTGGTTTGTATGTGGAATGAACTTCGACAGAAAGTGGTGGATGCAAGTAGGGTTACAACGTTTAAAACACATTTGGATAAGTTCATGAATAGGAAAGGTTCAGAGGGTTATGGGCCAAGCTCAGGCAGGTGGGACTAGTTTGATTTGGGATTATGGTCGGTGCGCACTGGTTGGACCAAAGGATCTATTTCCATGCTGTGTGTGTCAACGATGCTAAGCCATGACCTTTTCAATTCACTGACAATTCCCCAATCACACCACTAGATGGTGACCACATGCCAATGAATAAGTGAAGAATTCCGAGGTCAAACTGCACTGTTCGAGGTTTGACTACGAAGAATTACCAAGCTACAAATAACCCGAACAAAGGCACTTTTTAGCTCGTGTCCTTCATATCTGTAAAGAATGTAAGTTTCTTGCTAAATCACAGCCAATTGATTTATTCACTCCTATGCTGTGTCACACAAGAGTTCAGGAAATAAATAAAAGGAAGACAGGAATTTAATTATTAACTGAATAACTTTAGAACAATGTCCTGGCAATTCCCAAGAGAGTATGTGGTTACACTCAAATCAGAGCTGTGCAGGCCACAGAGACAATCTGGAGAGTTACTCAACTTGTTTGCTTCCTCCCAGCTGAAATGTACACCCTGCCGTAGGATTCCTGCACTGTTTTCCTATTAATTGCACAGAATAGGCATTTGTCTCATTATCAAAGCAAATCTGCAAATACTCCTTCAACTAGCAAGGCTGCTTGCAATGCTCTTGCCCCTAAGGACTGTCTCCATAATAATAATGCATTCAAATAGATGACAAAAGCCCACCAGGTTCTCCTGTGCCAGGGCCTGACCCCCTAAACAAAGTAGCATCGATATCTTCGGGGGCCTGAGCGGGTCTGACAGCTTGGCTGCTTCCTTCGACCGTGAAGGGGGATAGGTCGGACATGTGTGGAGACATCGGAGCTAACTTGTCCAACACTGTGTCTCTGCAGAGTTGGGCACAGCCAAGCTGCCCCTGCAACTGCGGGTTCAGTTCGCAACTGCAGAGCTCAGAGCCCTCCAGGCACTCTCTAGTACATTTGCAGCAATTCCCTCCACGGATAGTTGCAGAGGCTCTGGCCTTCAGCTTCAGCTTGCTCCTGGGCAGCCGGAAATCTATCCTGCACAGATAGAATCGCACAGCTGGGCCAACAATCACTGCAAAGGCTGTCCAACTGCTCCAGCTCTTTCTCCATGGAACAAATGGACATGATCTTGCGAAGGTAAACAGCATTCTTGGTCTTCTATCTACTGGTACAGAATAGAAAGGGGCATGATGTAGAATTGGCACAAGATGTTAATGCATGTATCGCACTGCACACACCTTTATACTTCCCACAGGATGGCACGGTGGCACCATGGTTAGTACTGCTGCCTCACAGGGCCAGAGAGCGTTCGGAGGGTCAGTGCAGATTTGATGGGCCGAATGGCCTCTTTTTGCCATGTAGGGATTCTATGACTATACAAAGGGTGCACAGCATTAGGAACAGATGCAGCAAAAGCTCAATACCCTGATACCCAGGTTAGCAACATAGAAAATAGGAGGAGTAGACCATTCGGCCCTTCGAGCCTGCCCCGTCATTCCACACAACCAGGGCTGACCATGCCACTCAGTCCCCAGTTCCAGCTTTCTCCCCATACCCTTTAATCCTAAGAAGTTTACTGTAGAATCCCTACAGCCTGGAGGCAGGCCACTCAGCCCATCGAGTCTGCACTGACCCTCTGAAAGGTCCCTGGCGCTGTGAGGAAACAGTGCCAGCCACTGTGCCACCCTATGGATTTCTGCGAATCTGAAGTCACATGTAGGCCAGATTATGGTAAGGCTGGCAGATTTCCTTTCCTAAAGGACATTAGCGAACCAGATGGGATTCTATGAAAATTGATGACTGTTGTCATGGTCACCATCATGGAAACTAACATGTAATTCTATGTCAACAGAATTCAAATTCCACCAACTACAAATGTTATTGATTACTAAAATACAACTAACACCACCTATATTGTCTCACATTAACATCACTGAAGCCTTGCTCAATGAGATGTTGCTACAAATCGCTAACATCAATAATATCTGCTGCATACTGGCCAAGCTGGAGCAGCTCAGATGGATGAAAGAACTGATGAGTACATGGATAATATTTTTATAAAGCATGTTAAAAGGTTTTT